GAAGTTGGCCAAAAAATGTGCAAGAAAAATCTGAGGAATGAAATGTTAACAGTGGACTCTGAAAGCACTGACATATTTTCTTTGGAAGGCCACGTGCCTGCGCATGAGCAGGGCTCTAGGCATGCCCAAGAAAGAACTGAGAAGGCCCTTGGCTCTCAACTCTAGGTGACGCTGGGGCCATGTACAAGCAAAGAGACTATGATTAAAACAGAAAAACACTCTACTGAGTGGGAGAAAATATTTGTACATCATATATCTGACAAGGGGCTAACATCCCAAATATACAAAGAACTCATCTAAACAACAAAGCAGATAACCTAATCAAAAAATATGAAGAAGAGCCAAATAATTGCATATAGTATGTCAGACACTGTGTCAATGATGCATGTATAGAAAACTCTAGAAAATGCAAACTATAGTGATAGAAAACAGATTAGTGATTGCTCTGAGGTGGAGGTGGGGCAGTAAGGGGTTACAAAGGGGCAAGGAAACACGGGGGGGTATGTTCACTTTCATGATTGTAGATATATGTATGTTATTTTAGAAATATAGTCCCTCTCTCCTGCCTTCATAGGTCACCATTTCTTTCTCTGTGTATGTCACTTCATGATGATTCTGCCTTTTTTTTTTTTTTTTTTTTTTTTGTGGGACCCTCACCAGCGACCGGGGAAAGAACCGGAGCTGCAGAGGCTGCGGGCAGCCTCGCAGCCCAGCGCTCAACCGCTGCGCCACCAGGGGAGGCCCTCATGATGATTCTGATAGAGAGCATTAAAAGACCCCAAATAAGAAAAGCTACTACTGGATTAGTGCTATACTGCCTCTGGGTTTTTACAAATGTAAAATGACACGAAACCATCACTATAATATCATATCTGCTCTGAAATCCTGTGTCCTACCCAGTCACATGCTTCTCTCCCTTCTAACTCCTGGCAACCACTTTTTACTGTCTCTATAGTTTTGTATTTTCCAGAATTTTATATAGTTGGAATCATACAGTATGTAGCCTTCTCAGACTGACTTCTTTTACTTAGTAATATACGTTTACGCTTCCTCCGTGTCTTTTGTGGCTTGATAGCTTTTTTTTTTTTTAAAAAAAAGATTTATTTATTTATGCATACAAGAGCTGGGGTACAGACCAGAGGTGTGGGGGGTGAGATTCACCAGAGACAGAGTGGGGAGCAGAACAGGCAGATTTACTGAAATACACTGCTGAGGGGAGCAGCAGGCAAGGCAAGAGAGGTGTGCTGTGCCATGTGGGTCACCTCTCTGGCCAGGGATCGAACTTGTGCCACAGTGGCTGAGGATAGCGTCATAGTGCTGTGCTTAGCCCCTTGTGCCACCAGGGAGGAACCAGATAGCTTTTTTTTTAAAGTGCTGAATAATATTTCATTGCCTGGATGTATTACAGCATACCTACTCCTGTTCTAAAGGACATCTTGGGCCTCCCCAGTGGCGCAGTGGTTGAGTGCTGGGTTGCGAAGCTGCCTGCAGCCTCTGCGGCGCCAGTTCGATACCCGGCTGCTCCCCGGCCACCGGAGGAGGGTCCCACATGCGCGCGCAGACCTCTCCTGCCGCCCGCTGCTCCCCTCAGCAGTGTACTTCGGTCCTTCTGCCTGCTCTGCTCCCCGCTCTGGCTCTGGTGAATTCCCTCACTCTCCCGCGCTTCTGACTGTACCCAGTGCATGTATAAACAAAACAAACAAACAAATAAATAAAAAAATGCCTCTATAAAAAAACAACAATAAAGGACATCTTGTTTGCTTCTAAATTTAGTAATTTTGAGTAAAGCTGCTGCAAACTTCTAAGTGTAGGTTCTTGTGTGGACATAAGTTTTCAAGTCCTTTGGGTAAATACTGAGGAGGGTGAATGTTGAATCGTATAAGAATATGTTCAGTTTTGTAAGAAATGGCCAGGCCACTCTGCTCGTTTGCTGTACTATTTTGCATTCCTGCCAGCAATGAATGTGACCTCTATTTGCTCATATCCATTTGCTTGACATCCACATTGTCGGTAGCTTGGATTTTTGCTATTCTCATAGGTGTGCAGCGGTGCCTCATTGTTGTTTTTTTTTTTAAAGATTTATTTATTTATTTATACAAGCATTGGGTACAGTCAGAAGTGCGGGAGGGTGAGAGAATTCACCAGAGCCAGAGCAGGGAGCAGAACAGGCAGAAGGACCGAAGTACACTGCTGAGGGGAGCAGCAGGCGAGGCAGGAGAGGTCTGTGCACCATGTGGGACCCTCGCCCGGCAGCCGGGGATCGAACCAGCGCTGCAGAGGCTGTGGGCAGCTTCGCAGCCCAGTGCGCAACTGCTGTGCCACATGGGAGGCCCACCTCATTGTTTTTTAATTTGCAATTTCCTAATGACTTAAAGCACTTCTAGAGACAAGGATGGGAAGAGATTATGAGGAAATTCATGTGGAACTTGCTTTGAAGCAAACAGATTCCATCTTGTGTCTAAACTGCCATGCTAATACTTGTGGGAGAAAATTAGACAGTGTGGCTTAACAATTCAAGAACTGCAAGAAACATCAGCTGATCTGCCAGCAGACTCCAACACAACCTTCTCTCAGGAGTCTTTCTGCCTACCAACCAGACAGATAGATAAGCTTAGGAACCCAAGCCAGTTTCATAGCAAGTAACTTTAAACTCACACCATCTCCCTGCTCAATTCTTTAAAACTCCCCCGTTCCAACCCTGATGGTACAGACTTTGGAACTATCTCTTGGTTGTGCTTGAAATTATGATTCCTATTCTCAAATAAATGCCTTCCTGGTTATACAAACCCAACTATTTCTCTATGGTGGACACTTGGGACAAAAGATTGGTGAGCAGGGGCCTCCTTGGTGGCACAGGGGGTTGGGCACAGCACTGTGGAGCAGTCCGAAGCCTTTGCAGTGCGCCTCCGATCCCCGCCTGGCTAGGGAGATGCCCACTTGGCGCAGTGGACCTCTCCTGTCTCACCCGCTGCTCCCCTCGGCAGTACGTTTCAGTTGGTCTGCCTGTTCTGTTCCCTACTCTGTCTCTGGTGGGTCCTCTCACCCCCCCATACCTCTGGAATGTGCCGCAGCTCTTGTATGCATAAATAGGTAAATCTTAAAAAAAAAAAAAAAAAGACTGGTGAGCAAAGTCATGAGCTTAGTCCTCTCACAAGGTGCTATGGGCAAACAGGATACATTCAATGTTTCTGTCCTTTTTCTGGTGAGGTGTGGTGATTGAGTCCACTGGGACTCAGTATTTCTTGATGTAATGATTTACTCTCGAACGTATGACTAGCACGCAGAACAGTACGTGGATTATAGCAGGAGCTCACTAGATGTTTACTGAATGAATTGGGACAACTGGGGCATTTGGTGAGAACCTACTCTTTCCTCATGTCACTTTCTAAGTTGTTGGATACTTTATCCCTCTGCATAGAGCCACCAACATGCAGGTTAAGTTCACTCCCAATGAGGGAGTGAAGGGAACCATCCCCTCAGCAGTAGAAGGAATGTCCGGAGTTTACCTACATACATCTGCCACCAAGTTTGGTCCCAGAAGCAGTCCCAACCACCCAAATAGCTTCTTTCTGCAACACAAAGCAGCTTTTTGAGCCTGCTGTCACAAATTCATGGCTCAGTTTTTGAGAGGCAGCACCCTGCCAGGGACACTTCTTGAACTTGGCAGAATAGACAAATGCTTTCTCACCCGCATTTTGCTCAGTCGCTGTGATGTGGAATAAGCCAGTCTGGACAAGTTGTACGGCACAGTCTCTGGCTTGTGAGTGGTCCAGAGAATTCACGGGCTCACAGAAGCTGTTGCTGCAGCAACTGTTACCTAAGGGGTGACCTTGGCAGCAGGCAATGCCAGATAGCAAGCCGAGAAAAAAACCACACAAAGGGTCTTTAGAAACAAGCCTTTGTTTGTGCACAGTGGACAAGGGACAGACTGGGAAAGTCTCCTAATGTTGCCCGTACTTCTTGGAATGTAAGGAGCCCTGTCCTCAGCCCGAGGGAGCAGGAGGGATTCTTTCAGGGGAAAAGAAAAAGGCCTGACAGTCTGTTAGGGGAGACCAAGCACATGGCCTAGGGCTAGATCTTCTGGATACAGGGCCGTATTCAAAAACTTCGGGCTGCATTTCTAAAGGAAGGCTGGGGAGAGACATTAACTCCAGGGAAGCGGAATCTGATGAGAGAACTATTGTAGGCATCATGGTGCAGAGAGATGGTGAAACTGTCTAAAACTGCCAGATGATGTCAAGTTGCAGGGCTGACAGAGGGGACTGGAGCCATTCCCCGGGAGTTGTGGTGGATGGACTTAATTAGGATCTCTAGAAACAGGGAGACCTGGCCTGGGTAAAGCACACACAGATTTGCCACACTGGGAACCTCTAGAACACTCACCCCTTCTCCCCAAGGTGAAAAGTACACCTGCCTGGAGTTCCTGGGGTAGTGTGTGCAAGCACAAAGATGACTCGAGAACTGGAGGCACTGGGGATGAAGGCTTGTTCCCTCCCTATCTACCTTAACAGCCTTGTTTGGACAGTCTTGGAAATAGATGAGTTCTGGAATTAATTAGAGAAGATAAGTAAGGAAAGCAGTCTGGGAAGCAGCACTCCACGTTGGGGTTATTGTATTAGAAGGTTTCTGAACCATCCCTTACTCCCAGCACATGGGCAATAGAGTGTTTACCTCAACTGCTTTGCTCTGCAAGTTCCCCTTGGCTATGAGCACATTCTGCTTCTGGCAGGAGAGAGCTTTCCTGTTATCTGCTCTAGAGGGATGTGCTTAAATTCTCCAGCACTGTGTCATGGCCTGACACATCAGAAGTTTATACTCATGGCCTAGATCTAATTCAAATACTACCACTACAATGACTTGGTGATAGAGAAAGATTTGAAACAACTGTGACTTCCCTTGTTGTAACTCAGGTCACGAAACAGTAGGAACTTTGAGGCTTCTCTGCAATGGCCTTTTTTTTGAGAATATAGTCACTGAGAGCAACCAAAAAAATTCTACCTGAGACAGCCAAAACTTTTTATTGTTGAGCTGAAGTTTAGGACTTAAGCAAGGATCTGGAAATGAACCGTCCTTTGATGAGCAGTACCAAGGCGCCCTATTTTTGAGCAGGAGACTTCTGGTCCTCTAGACTCTCTCCTGTCACCCGCCCAAGATGAAGCTGCTCAGAGATGAGGCATTCCCAGATGCTGCAGCATCTCCTCAGGGGCTGGGTTTCATAGCTTATAATTTCAAGAGTGAGCTTGTGAGCGAAGGTACCTTTTAACTTGTCGCAGCCCAATAAGGGAAGTGGAGCTAGGAATTGGGAGGCTTCCCCGCTCCACACTGTTTAGGATCTCTTCATTTTACTCAGTGTTTAAAATAGTTTTTATTATGCAATAAATTCTGTCAGATACTGGGTCTGTTCGCAGTGCCCTGTCCCTACCCCCAGGCTGCACTGCAAGTGGAGGAAAGAACAACGATCTCCCCACCTGGCAAAGGCAGGTTTTTCATACTGGATAAGACCGGTGAGAGCCTGGGGTAGAAGTGGGTCCATGGGTCAGTCTTCCTCTGAGTCACTGGGGCCCACGTACTGGCAGACAGCATCATAGTAAAGCTCCACCAGCCGATTCTCTCTCCGCAGCTGCACCAGGGCCCGGCTCCGTGCTTTGTCCCGGCCCAGCAGACGGCCCACCTAGTAGGGACAGATAGAGTCAGCAAGGCCAAACCAGGCCCTAGGACATCCCCAGCAGACCCCCAACCCCCATTCCCAGGTCTGGGACTCACCCTTCCAGCCTGTGGTCCCAGCACCACCATCACCCGGTCACCCTCGACCTTGGGGACTAAGGTTTCCAGCATGTCTTCCCTCAGGCCTGCAGACGAGGAGAGATGAATAAGGCCTAAGTGAGGGCCGGCCCCAGCCATGGTCCCCTTAGAAGGGCTTTTCCTATATTCCCTAATTGTCCCTGTTGACAGATAGGCATCCCACCAAGCCCATTTCACAGATGAAGAAGCCTAAGGAGCGGTTTCTAGAAATAACTGTAAGGAAGGGAGGGTTTGTACACAATGATGGTGGTGGTAGCGACAACAGATATAGATTACTGTAGGAATGTCATAAGCCCTGCCCAGCACCGGGAGTCAATACTTAGGTGCCTGTCACCAGAAGGAGGGAGAGGGGATAGTCATGCTAATTTATAGATGGGGAAAGTGCAGCTCAGGTGATCACCATCACAGAAGCCTCTAATGTTCTGTTAGGGGTTCCTGGGCCTTGCAAACACCCTGATATCTGTCCAGCCTCTCAGTCTTTGCCTGGGCAGGCTCTTGGCCTAAGATACCTTTCTCATCCAGCCTCCAGGATGATAATGGCCCAGAGGCCATCCCCCAGACTCACCTTCCAGGACTCGGCCTTCATCTGTCCGACACACACAAGTATCTGGGCTCAGGACATCTTCTATTGTCATCTGGGCAGAGTCAGGGGATGTGAGAATGTTGCAGAGTTAAGGGGGCCCAGTCCCTGGGAAAGGAAGAGGACCCAGGCTGTGGGGTTCCCACCTTGGTGTTGTAGTATTGGCCGCCCTTGTGCAGCTTGTCCACAAACCGCACGCGCAGGTCCCTGTGTAGCCAGTGCTGATTCCTGGGGGCCACTTTCTCACTCTTGGCTACAGGCCCATCTTGTCTGTGAGAAGGGGACAGACAGACACGAGGCTTAGCTCTATATACACCAGAGTTCCAGTCACCCCACCTTTGCTGATACTGTGAAATCCACTCCTAGCTGTTTCTAGGTCTTTCTGTGTGCCTGCCTTGCTCCAGAAGTTTCTTGACTGCTAGAGTCTCTCCTCAACCCTTCCCTCATACCCCAGCCCAGATGCCCAGGGTCCCACCGGTCTGGAAGGTATTTCCGCTTCCTCTCGGAGTCCTCCCACCGGACGTGGAGGTTCTGATGTCGCTGGGCCTTCGATGATGAGGCTGCTCCATTCTGTTGTGCTGAGCAAGTTTTGCTCACCTGGCCTGTTCAAGGAGGTGTGGAGAGAATCAGGAAAGTCTCAGTGTCTCACTTCTCTCTCCTTCCAGGCCACATCTCATTCTTGGGCCACCTACCATGTGGCAAAGTGCCTCTTCTCACCATCATGCCTTTGCCTGGGCTATTAGAAAGCTCACCCCGTACTGACAACGCTTACCAGAATCAATGGCCTAGTATGGGCTTGGGGGTCCCAGAGTGCTCTGCTGGCCTCCATCTTCCATCTGCCAAACCTAGAATGCCTAGAATGCCTTCCTCCCCAGTCATATCCTAGTTCTAGCTGCTCTTACTTCCCAGGCAGAGGCTCAGCCCTCCAAATAGACAGACATCCTGAGGGTAGGAAATGGAACACCTGCTTCTCTCCCCACCCCCAAAGAGGCTCAACACCCACGGTTACTAGGTCAACCTTTTTTCAACCAAATGGAATAAACCCCTCATCTTCATTCTCATCTCCTGACCGCTGGCTGTCACACCTGCCAGGCAAACCGCTGCCCTTCCTCTCTGCAGATCTGACCACCTTTCCCCTTGAAACAGACCTTACCACCCCCAGGAATGTTTCTCCAACTCCCCCAGCTAGTTAAGAGTTCACTCACTGAGATCCAGGGAGTTCTTCTCGAACTCTCGCTGGGAGACGGGCCGCAGGCAGTACTCACTAACAGTCACCATACGGTTTCCCTTGCCCAGACGGACCATGGCCCGAACATTGTCAGGATCAAGACCTTCCACCTAGTATTTGGGGGAGGAAAGTAGGCAGGGGTTGAGTGAACTGATTCACATTTCTAGGACCAAGCAAACCACCCTTATCTCCAATAAGCCTGATCCATGTTTCCCCAGCAGACTGTAGATCTTGGACATATTTTAAACATTCAACCCTTAGGCACTTATGGATATATGGCATTCTCTCCCTTTCAATTGTAAACTGAGGTTCAGAAAGGCCCAGCAAGTAGTCCTGAGTTACCTACTGAGGCAGTGGGCCAAGCAGGTCTGAAAGACAGAGCTTTCAGCCTTTGTACCCCAAAACCTTACATCACTCTTCCCCCTGCCACCTGTCTTGGACTCCAAGTACTTCTTGGCTTCTGACCTTCCCATAGAGGCCTCGGTGAGGGCCAGAAAGAACAACCACGGCACCTCCAGGCACCAGTCCTTTGGGCTGGTCTTTCTCATCCTTCTCTTGATCTGCATCTGGCTTTGGCAGGCGGTGGGGGTCGATGGGGGCCAGGGTCTGGAACTCAGTCGGGTTGGCACCCAGCCCTAACCCCTTGGGCCTCAGTGAGTTGACACGGGGCTTCACCACTCTGCAGGGAACACAGAACATAGGCTTGCTGGGGGTGGGGAAGCAATTATCTTCAATACCTCATTCTTCCCAACTCTAGCAATATGCTGATGAATACCCTTCCGGATCTATTATTAGGCCATTTCATTTGGCTCAACCTGATCACATGCTCATATACCATCTATTACATTGTATCTACAGTGGGATCTGAGGCAAATCCCTGTAACCAAATGCATTAATATTCCTACAGGGGAAATATAGGTTGTCAGACCACACAGGAGAAACAGACTATAAAATGCTCAATGTCAATTCGGGTCACATTTGGCTGCCAAATGGTTTATGGAAAAAATGTTTGCTTTTCAGAATTCTTTGGTGTTGAGAACTGCAGAGAAGGGACTGTAAGTCTAAGCGATAATAGCAAATGTTTGGCTTATACTGATTTAGGGCCAGGGCCGACTGTAAGTGCTTTATGTATACAATTTCACTTAACTACCACAACTGACCTGGAAAGTCAGTACTGTTACTGTCTCTATTTTTCAGATGAGAAAGCTGATGCCCAGAGGGGCAATCCTTAAGGACACAGAGTTTCAGAGGGCAAAGAGGAGTTTGAAATAGTAGTGGAAGGCGCTATGGAATTCTTCAGGGTAGTAAAGTCATGTGTAGCTGAATGACAGGGATATGTTTCAGGAAATGCATTGTGCAAGTGTCATGTGATAATGCAAACCCAGCAGACTACCCATCTAAGCTGTAGGGTAGAGCCTATCGGGAACATTGTGACTGAAATGTCTTCAATGAGCCCTCTCCCTTTCTGGATGGTTCTGCATGAGTGGTAACCATGGGTGGTCTTGTTCACCCCCTCTGCTGTCCCTTTGCCCTTACCCCAGGACTCACTGATTGAAGGTGTGGCCGATGCCCTCGCCAGGTTTCCACCCCATGCCCCGCAGCATGGCCAGCCCATAGGCCTCCACAGGGACTGCCTCATAATCAGCCTCCTCTGGCATCTAGGGTTCAGGCAGAGGAAGGAAGTCAGGTTTGGTTTGCACCGGGCCCTGTGCAGTATACTTGCTATCGCCCACTTGCTGCTTTTCCAGTGAGCTCAAGGGTGAGTTTTGCCATCTCTCATTTCCCTCCTCCATAGTAGTCCTTCAGCAAATATTTCTAAAGCACCTATTTGTGCCAGGTACTGTTTGAGGTGCTGATGATAAAGCAGTAAACAAAATAAAGCAAAAAATACTTATCTTATTGGGCTTATATTCTAGTTATTGAGAAACACAATAAATACATAAGATGTGATATGTTAGGTGATGGTACATTCTATGAAGAAAAATAAAGCAGGACAAGAGGGTGCAAAGGGACAAAGAAGGGGGTATCATTGAGCTGCTATCTGGGCAGAGAACAAAAGGAGATGACAGAGAGAGACATGAGGCTATGAATGAAGTGTTCCAAGCAGAAAGAACAGCAAGAACAAAGGTCCTGAGGCAGAAGGAGATGCAAGCGAAGAGTATCATGAAAGTCAACTTGACTGAAACAGAGATGTAGAGGCAGAAAGGGATGGTAAGAGATTAATCAGGAGAGCTGGATAGGCACCATGGGAGGTGGCAGCCCAATGGGGGGCCAGTGAGGAAGTTAGTGAAATAGTCCAGATGAGAGATGCTAGTGGCTCAGACCAGTGTGGCGGTAGTGGTGATGGTGAGAAGTCAGATTCTCAATGTATTTTGAAAAAGGATATGATAGAATTTTGCTGACAGATCGTATGTGGGGTATAAAATAAAGCAGAGAATCAACGATAACTCTAAGGTTTTTAGGCTGAGTAAGAAGAAGGATAGCTAGAACTGTGATCAATGAACATGTTGAAGGCTTTGAGAGGAGGGAAAATTAGAGAAATGAGGCCAAAGCAAGAACAGGACAGAGTGAAGACTTTTTTAAAAAATTAAAAACAATATATTTCAAGATGAAAGAAACCAGAGGATATCTGAAGCCTGATAAGAACAGTTCAGCTGAAAGAGTGGATGGTCTGGGACCATTGGAGAACTAGGCCTCAAAGAAGTTTTGCAAAAAAAAAAAAATTGTGAAGAAGGGGTAAACAGGAGGATCCATGGGTATGAAAGACAAGTTTCTTCTGTATACATAATCCATATCGCCTTCCATCACTACTCCCTCAATTCTTTTATTTTTCAACTCCCTATACACAATCCATATCACCTTCCATCACTACTCCCTCAATTCTTTTATTTTTCAACTCCCTCTATTTTTCATATCCACTCCAGACACACAAGTTGCCTCACCGATGGACACAAACCACACTGATTTCCTGCAACGATGCCATTGCTTGGGTCACTGCTGCCATTAGGAGTACCCACTCTGCTCTTCCCTCTCTCACTAAACCCTATTTGCCCTTCCAGGCATCATTCCTGCCACTCTGGCCTAAGTCTCCATCATCTCTAGCCTGGACTACTAGTTTTCTGGCTTCTACGTTCACTTATTAGTGTGTACTGCTCACAGCAGCCAGAGAGAGCCTATCAAATCATAAATCATAAGTTTTAGGTCTTCTCTGTTTAGAGTCCTCCTAAGGCTCTTATCTCATTCAGAAAAAAAGCCAAAGTTCTCACCATGGCCCACAAGACCCTACCTGGTTTGGCCCCCTCCAGGTTCTGACCTCATCTACCTCCCCCAACCTCCCAACTCATTCCATTCCAGCTACAGGATCTCCTAGGTATTCCACAAGCACTCCAGGAAGAGTCTACTTTCAGAGTCTTTACATTTCTTGTTCCCTTTGCTCCTCATATCATTTAGATAATCCCAGAATCCAAGTACTTTTCACACCTCAGTATCTGGATTCATTGTTAACGCTTCCAAAAAGGATGGAAGAATGGATAGGCAGCAGGCCTTTAGACACACAGACTTTCCCTGCTATGCACAGGAAGGTAAGTCTGGCAGACAGGGCAAAGAGAGGCTGGGGCAAGAGGGGGATCAGGGGCCAGCTCACTGTCTCAGCCCAGGGTTCGCTGTCTGCCCTTTCCCCGTTGGGGGTGCATCCTTTCTGGATCATGGGGATAGCGAGCGTGGGGTCGACACCCGCATTCTCTCTCTCCTCCAGAGACTTCTTGGATTCTAAGGAAGAATGGGAGGGCGCAATGAGGTCCCACCCTGTCCTTCCACCTTCCTCCCCTTCTTCCTTCACTAGAGCAAGGCAAAGAGGGGAGGGAGGTCACTCACCCTCAATGAGCTCTTTCACAGCTTGAGATAGCACCCCATCCATGGAGACTTCAGTATTTGTGGATGGCCCAGGGGCCTGGGCCAGTGGCTGTCTGCGATGGCCATTCTGGATCAAAGGGATCACGAGTTCCTTAGGGGCTTCTGAGGGCTTCACACTGATGTGGACACAGTGGGGTGAAGTTGGAAGAGTAGCATGGTCAGTGGGTTCTAAACCATATCCCTTCACTCAGAAAACCACAAGAGTCAAACTCACCCCCAGCCCCATGGACCACGCCCTCAGTCTCTGATCTGGCTCTCCTGATGTCTATGACGGTGCCTTTTGTGCCTCCGATGGTAAGTGTATGCCTCCTACACACATACCCCAACTCTTAAATATCAGTGCCTTGAGGGATCAGTCCTCAGTCCCGGACCCTCTTTTCATCTCAAGACCCACGTCCAAGGCTTCCACAGTGACCCACAAATCGCTATTTCGGCTGAGATTCTCTCCCCAGCTTCAGGCTTCAGATCAGCCTCCTACGGGGTTGACTATCTTCTGGAAGGTCCTCCCTCAGACTCTTTACCAATTAAGCTGATGATGGCATCCCCCAACCTGAATCTGCAGCTCCACCCCGAGACCCCCATATCGGTGAAGCCCCAGAGCTTCAGTTGAGACACTAGTGGTCCTGTCATTCTCTCCTACTTTCCTTCTCTCAAGAACGCACACACGTCAAAGTCCGCAAGTCCTAAAGGCACTCCCTCAGAAATACATCCTCTCAATTCCCACCGCCACGAGATCCAGATTCCCCAGCTCGCCTACAAACTGCCCCCTTCTCGCCTCCACAAATTTCCTCAGGCTGTGCTCAAGCTTTCTGGGCCACTGTCACCAAGATAGTCAACTCAGATTCCACCCTCCCGCTTGCGCCCACCGCACCGATTTCCCAGGGATGAAAGACACGGCACTTTACCTCTGCAGCTCCTTTCCTTCCACAGTCTTCAAGTAATCCTTCTCTTCCGGAACCACACCCGCGCCGTCTCCCGGATCCGCCAGCCGTCTCCGGGCCGCCGTGCGACTGAAGCTGAATGAAATCGGTGCGGCGGAGGTCGCAGCCGGCCGCAAAACATCCTCTTCAGCGTCCGCCATCTTACCCTTCCTTGGCCGGTACGCGGCTTGCTGGGAAGTAGAGTTTGGGCTTAGTTTACCGAGGGCCAGACGACGAGCGCTAGAACTACCTTTCCCATAAAACACTGCGGAACCGGCAGGCGAAGGCGAATGTGCGACCGTGGGAAGTAACGGTCACTTTTTCCACTTAAGCGAATCGCGCCAAGCATACAGGGAAATGTAGTTCTTCAGGGGAGGTGGCTTCATTCTTGCCGGATACTCATTCCTTCGTGTAGGCGTTTGATTTATTGATCAATTATCGTGTGCATCATCTGTGTCCTACTGTAAAATAAATAATTAAGAAAAAAATCCGTGAGTGCCAGTTGTGTACAATCATAAATAATAGACACGTAAATGGTGTCTTCCAATGCCAGATTTAATACTCTACAAGCTCTGGATTCAAATAGTAATAAAACAGTCCTCTTCTCTAGAGGCTCCTAGTCCAGTGGGGAACAACGGCAAACAGATTTTGTTGTTTTTGTTGCAATTTTGTGTTTTACTTTTATTCTTTGAGTATTTTACTAAAAATAAAGATTATATTAAATTTTCAAACATAAAAGTTGGTACCATAGCTGTCTATTCTGTGCCTCATTAGCTAATTGTTAGTGATTAGTGCAATATTCTTTCCATATATTCTGTATGTGTAAATAAATATATATATACACATCTTTATAATACTCATAATAATCACGCAATATTGGAGATTATATATACAAATACATATATAATCCTATATAACCAAAATGCAGCTATAACTACCAAGACATTAAACATTGCTATAATATCATTTAATATCCACCCTATATATTTTTTAAATATTTATTTATTTATTTATACAAGCACTGGGTACAGTCAGAAGGGCGGGAGGGTGAGAGAATTCACCAGAGCCAGAGCCGGAAGCAGAACAGACAGACTGACGAAATACACTGCTGGGGGGAGCAGTGGGCGTGGCAGGAGAGGTCTGCGCAACTTGTGGGACCCTCGCTGGCGGCCGGGGATCAAACCGGCGCTGCAGATACTGCGGACAGCTTCGCAGCCCAGCGCTCAACCACTGCGCCACCGGGGAGGCCCCCTATATTATTTTTCCAAAGACAATTATTCCAAAAGCATCCTTTTGCCTAGATGACTTACAATGTATCATTCAAATATGGGTACTTTTTTTTAAAGATTTATTTATTTATTATTTATACAAGCACTGGGTACAGTCAGAAGCGTGGGAGGGTGAGAGAATTCACCAGAGCCAGAGCGGGGAGCAGAGCAGGCAGAAGGACCGAGGTACACTGCTGAGGGGAGCAGCGGGCGGCAGGAGAGGTCTGCGAGCCATGTGGGACCCTCCTCCCGTGGCCGGGCAGCAGCGGGGGATCGAACAGGCGCTGCAGAGGCTGCCGGCAGCTTCGCAACCCAGCGCTCAACCGCTGCGCCACCGGGGAGGCCCTCAAATATGGGTACTTCTTAAAAGTAATATGTAACTTACATATGGCAGAATATATATATCTTGTGCATAGCTCTGTGGACTTTTACATAAATATGCCTAAGTAACTGCCATCCAGAACAAGGTAAATTCAATTATGCCGAGACAACAGGTATAATAAAGACTGGTTGCTTTCTTGTGAGTAGATTAATATTAAATCTTTTTGGCAAGAATATTATCAATGATATAGTGTATACTCTCAGAAAACACATTTCCACACAAACAGATATTTTAAATCTTAAAATGTTTAAATCTAATATTTAAATACTTAATTTAAATGTTAAATGAAATTTAACTATTAAAATGCTGTGAGTCAGGCTTACAATTTCAAAAGATTAATGAGATGAAGAAACAAAAGTAAATAAATGGGACTACATTGAACTAAAGAGCTTTTGTACAGCAAAACAAACTACCACAAACACTAAAAGAAAACTAATTGACTGGGAGAAGAAATTTATTCATCATATATCTGGCTTAATATCCAAAATATATAAAGAATTCATACAACTCAACAACAACAACAAAAAAAAAAACATACAACCCAATCAAAAAATAGTCAAGTACTTGAATAAACACTTTTCCAAGGAAGATATACAGATGGCCAACAAGCACATGAAAAAAAAATACTCAACTTCACTTATTATTACGGAAATGCACATCAAAACCACAATGGGATACCATCTTATACCTGTGAAAATGGCCTCTATAAAATGGCTTATATCAAAAAGACTGGAAACAACATGTGTTGGCCAGGATGCAGTGAAAAAGGACCATATTCACTGTTGGTGATAGTGTAAATTGGTGCAGCCCTTATGGAAAATAGTATGGAGATTCCTTAAAAATCTAAAAATTGAAATACCATATGGCCAAGCAATTCCCCTCCTATATATTTATCTAAAGGATACGAAAACTAATTCAAAAAGATTTATACACTGTGTTCATAGCAGCAGTATTCACAAGAGCTAAGATATGGAAATAACCTAAATTCCCATTGATGGATGACTGGATAAAGGCATTGTGGTATATATACTTAATGAAATACTACTCAGACATCAATAAAGATTAAATTTAGCTTTTTGCCATAACATGGATGGAACTTGAGGTGATTGTGCTAGGTGGAAGTAAGTCAAACTGAAAGGCAATAGATGGTTTCTCCCATATGTGGATATATAGTTATATAAATAACCAAAGCAAATGAACTAACAAATCATAGCAAAAATAACTTATATTCTGTGAAAAATTTTGTGATTACCAGGGGGGGATGGGTGAAAGCATGGGAGGAAGGGTAGAAAACACCAACCTGATAGTGGGAATGGCTCTGGAACTTTAGTGGAGGGTGAGGTGAGGGTTACACACACACAGAGGGGAAGAGGTACCCCAGTAATTTATACAGTTTTGTAAATCAATAAAATTTTATTTTAAAAAATTTAATGAGATCCCTCCTGTTTAGGACCTTAAGAGTTTGTAAATTAGAAGACTGATACTTAAATGGTTACAAGAACGAATATTGCAGATCTGCTAAAAATCCACTCCAAGAAAATCACTGAACAGGTGTGAAAAGATTTTTATTCATCATAGTTTATTATTTCCTGTAACAAAAGCTTGAAGGCCACTTAAATGAACAACAGAAGGGTATGGGATAAGTTAATTATAGCACATGCCTTGGATGGACCACATATACTAGAGCCTTTAAATGTGAGGCTATAAATATAATTAAATGAAATAGGGACATAGTCACATGTTTGGAAAGTAGACTAATATGGTGGGTCAGAGATTAGTTTTGTAAACAAGAAGCCCAGTATTTGATCATCTCATGACTGTACTTCCAGGCTTAGAAGACATGGGTTTTCTGAGATGGGCCCTGGAATCTCTGGGGTTTTCAAAAAAAAAATCTTAAAATTTTTATTTTGAAATTATCTTAGACTTAAAGAAATGTTGCAAAATGTACAGAGAGTGCCTGTATATCTCTCATTCAGATCCCCCTAAACATTTTATATAACAATTGTAAATTGATCAAGGTCAGGAAATTAGCAGTGGTGGAATACTATTAACTAAACTACAGACCATTTTCTGTTCCAGGATTCAATCTAGGATCATACATTGCATATAATTGTAATACCTCCTTAGTCTCCTCCAGTCTGTGACAACTCTTCAATCTTTCTTTGCCTTTCATGACCTAAATACTTTTGAAAACTAGTTTGGTTATTTTATAGAATATCCTTCAATTTGTTCCTGTCTAATGATTTCTCATTCTTCGATGGAGGTTATGGGACTTTGGCAAGAATGCCAAACAAGTTATGTGCCCTTCTGATCACATCTTATCAGGGAGTTGATGATGTTCTGTCTTTTTTTTTAAGATTTACTTATTTATGCATATAAGAACTGGGGTACAGGCTAGAGGTGCGGGGTGGGGGGAGGGTGAGAGGATTCACCAGAGATGGAGAGGGGAGCAGAACAGGCGGATCTACTGAGATACTCTGCTGAGAGGAGCAGTGGGCGAGACAGGAGAGGTCTGCTGTGCCATGTGGGTCACATCCTTGGCCAGGGATCGAACTCATACTGCAGTAGTTACTCATGCTGTAGTTATGGATAGCTTCATAGTGCTGCATCTTAACCCCTTGCACCACCAGGGAGGCTCCATGTTCTGTCTTATTACTACTGACTGACACATTGCCTGGGTGGCAAAAATGACTAAAGTGATATTCACTTCCTGAAGCAGTCACCTGAGGCGGTGTGCACAACACAGGATTACACAGACTGGAGCAGAGGTCCTTGAGAGTATTGCCTCCTCTGATATTTCACACCTGGTCTCTGACTCATTCCTGAATGTACTATAGAGATCACACCAAGCCACACAGGTCCTGATGCAAAACTGTGTGGTGAAAATACAATGATAGAATTTTTTTTTCTCCTCTATAGTTCATCCTGAAAACAAAACCAGGACTTTCTGTTTACAGATATTGAGAAAAGAATCAGCTTGTCATGTGGTGAAGGAAGCCTATCTGAAAGCTTTGCAAACACAATCATTTATTCTTTTGTTCATTCAACCTACATTAACTGAGCACCTACTCTGCTATAGGCCCTGCACACATATGGGCTGTTGTGAAATTCAGTGATTGCAAGTGTGGTTAAAACTCCAGTCCCACCAGGCTGTGAGGAGTGCTTGAGAAAACAGAAGGGGATTAATTATACATGTCACTACTTCCAAGAAAGGCTAAAGTTTGTAAAAGCACTCTGAAAGATGGCAGGGGCTGAAGCTAAAGTGATGTGCAGGGAGAAGGTCATGGCTGGCTGGGCATGCAAGGCTTGGGAGTGTCTGTTCGGAGGTGTCAAGGAGTCGTGAAAAGATTAGATGACACAGGAACATGTGTTTTTAAAAAATATGTATGAAAGATATGGTGTCCATGTACTCAAAACACAAAGAGCTGCAGTTCAATAACAATAAAAGGCAGGCAACCCTCAACTGAGAAAACAGACAAGGGACGTGATGAGGGGATGCACAAAGTGGGAAATACAAATAGCCATTAAGCACACATAAAGATTCTCAGCATTGGGCCTCCCCTGGTGGCGCAGAAGTTGAGCGCTGGTCTGCGAAGCTGCCTGCAGCCTCTGCAGCACCGGTTCAATCCCCGGCCACCGGCGAGAGTCCCACATGGCGTGCAGACCTCTCCTGCCGCCCACTGCTCCCCTCAGCAGTGCACTTCATCATTCTGCCTGTTCTGTTCCCCGCTCTGGCTCAGGTGAATTCTCTCACCCTCTCACACTTCTGACTGTACCCAGTGCTTATGCAAATAAATTAATTAATTAAAAAAAGATTCTCAACATTGCTAATAATCAAAGAGATGAAAATAAATTGATAATGAAATGCTGTTCTTCATTTAAGTCAATGGGAAAGATCAAAAGTGAAAACAGCAAACACATCTATGGTAGATCCTTAGATGGGTGTATGCTAATCACCCATGTAAGCACTCATTTAGTCCTCCTAAGGACTTGGTGAGTAGGTGCTATTTTAAAATTCATTTTACAAATGAGAGAACGGTGGCCCAGAGAGACTGAGTTGGTGAATATCTCAAATAAGTACCAGGGATGATGTCTAGAATTACTGAAGATGGCAGAAAGTGGGCACATTTTCATACACTGCTGATAGGGGCACAAATTGATCCAACATTTATCAGGGGCAGTGTGCTCATATACATACCTTTCTTGACCCAAAGATATCCTCCCTCCTTCCCTCCCTCCCTCTCTCTTTTTTTATTTTTGCAGGGAGGGTCACCTAACAGCAGCAGCTAAGAGGGGTATGGGCATCACAGGCCCCACTCCAAGGGGCAAGTGAATGTTTGCATCCTATGAATGCTCCAAAGTATTCCAGGACAAATCCCTGAGGACAAAATTCAAAAATCTATCAGAAATCCATTGATTCCATTTCTAAGAATGGACTGAAGGAAAGAACGGAGAATTTGGGCAGGATTTTTTTTCTAAGAGAGTTTTATTTATTTATTTAACATTTTAAAAGGACAGGTTTATTAAGAGAAAGAAAAAAAGAGGCACTTGCACAGTCACAAGTGGGCAAGAGGGCTGCTGCTGCCACTGCTGCTTTGCATAGGATAAAGGTTTGTGAAAAGAAACACCCTCATAGTTACAGGTGGGCTGGAGAGCTGCTTATTATTATTATTTTTCAATTAAAAATACTGGAGACAATCTAAATGCCCACCTACAGATCCTGGTTCCCATCCAACTCTCTCTTTCTGACTTACACAGTTGTTAATATTGCTAAAGTTAAGTCTGCATGTATTTGTGACAACTCATCAAACCGTGTGCTTATGAGTGAGTCAAGTATATTATACTTTGATTAAAAAGGCTTACAGGGACTTCCCTGGTGGTGCAGCGGTTGAGCGCTGGGCTGCAAAGCTGCCCACAGCCTCCACAGTGCCAGTTCAATCCCTGGCCACCGGCGAGGGTCCCACATGGCGCGACAGACCTCTCCTGCCGCTCCCGCTGCTCCCTTCAGCAGTGTATTTCGTCAGTCAGCCTGTTCTGTTCCCTGCTCTGGCTCTGGTGAATTCTCTCACCCTCCCACGCTTCTGACTGTACCCAGTGCTTGTATAAATAAATAAATAAATAAATCTTTTTTAAAAAAAAAAAGGCTTACAAATTCTTCATGGCTTATAAACAACTCATAGTACTCAACAACAACCACAAAAATACCCCACCTATTTTCCACCCAATTTTAGGAACAAAACAACAATGCTCTTATACTTCTATTCAATCTATTGTACTTAATTATAGCAGGGACAATTAAGCAAGAAAAAAGAAATAGAAGACATTTAAGTTGAAAAGGAAGAAGTAAAACTATCTCTCTTTACTTATGATATTATATAGAAATACCAAGGAATCTACTAAAAAGCTATTAGAACTAATAATCAAGTTTCATGAGGTTACAGGTTAGATGGACATTAAAAAATCAGTTGTATTTATGTACTCAAATGAAAATAAAAGTAAGAAAATAATTTCACTTGCAATTGATTCAATGTAATAAGAGACAGGAATAAATTTAACAAAGGAAGTGTAAAAATTGTACTCTGAGAACTATAAAACATCATTAAAAGGGCCTCCCTGGTGGCGCAGCGGTTGAGCGCTGGGTTGCGAAGCTGCCCGCAGCCTCTGCAGCGCCGGTTCGATTCCCAGCTGCTCCCCGGCCACCAGAGGAGGGTCCCGCATGGTGCGCAGACCTCTCCTGCCGCCCGCTGCTCCCCTCAGCAGTGTACTTCGGTCCTTCTGCCTGCTCTGCTCCCCGCTCTGGCTCTGGTGAATTCTCTCACCCTCCCGCGCTTCTGACTGTACCCAGTGCATGTATAAACAAGAACAAACAAACAAATAAATAAATAAAACATGCCTCTATTTAAAAAAAAAAAAAAAAAAAAAAAAAAAAGAGGGCCTCCCCGGTGGCGCAGCGGTTGAACACTGGGTTGCAAAGCTGCCTGCAGCCTCTGCAGCGCCGGTTCGATCCCCGGCCACCAGTGAGGGTCCCCCATGGCGCGCAGACCTCTCCTGCCACCTGCTGCTCCCCTCAGCAGTGTACTTCGTCACTCTGCCTGCTCTGCTCTCCCCTCTGGCTCTGGTGAATTCTCTCACCTTCCTGCGCTAATGACTGTACCCAGTGCTTGTATAAATAAAAATAAAAATAAATAAATAAATAAATAAAATCATTAAAAGAAATTAAAGATCTATGGAAATGGAGTGACACCACATGTTCATGACTCAAAATACTTAATATTGTTAAGATGACAGTACCGCACAAGTTGATCTATACACTCAACATAATCCCTATCAAAATTCCAATCCTATCAAAATTCCATTTAATTTTTACTGGAGAAATTAATTCTAAAATTAATATGGAGGGGACCTCCTTGGTGGCACAAGGGATTAAGACACAACCTATGAAGCTATCCACAGCCACTGCAGCACGAGTTCAATCCCCGGCCAAGGAGCTATCCACATGATGCAGCAGACCTCTCCTGACTCGCCTGCTGCTCACCTCAGCAGTGTATTTCAGTCAATCTGCCTCTTCTGTTCCCCACTCTGTCTCTGGTGAATCCTCTCACCCCCCACACCTCTGGCCTGTACCCCAGCTCTTGTATGCATAAATGAATACATCTTTAAAAAAATCATATGGGGGTATCACCAGTGGCGCAGTGGCTGAGTGCTGGGCAGCGAAGCTGCCCGCAGCCTCTGCAGCACCAGTTTGATTCCCAGCCCCTAGGGAGAGTCCCACATGGTGCACATACCTCTCCCGCCGCGCCTGCTGCTCCCCTCAGCAGTGTATTTCGTCAGTGTGCCTGTTCTGTTCCCCGCTCTGGCTCTGGTGAATTCTCTCACCCTCCCGCGCTTCTGACTGTACGCAGTGCATGTATAAATAAATAAATCTAAAAAAATAATAAATAAATACACGTAAAAAAATTCATATGGAAACTCAAGGGACCCAGAATAACCAAAACAATTTTGACAAAGAGGAACAAGAGCAACCTTGTCAAGATAGTGTGGTATCAGCATAATTATGGATCAATGAACTGGATTAAGACTCCAAAGTTAAATATAGGGGAACCAAATAAGACATCAGTATAAAAAAATAATAACAGTACAAAACACAACAAAGCAAAAACAGACAATTATAAATCAGAGACATCCTGCAGGGGAGGAGGGGGGAGAGGGATCAGTGGGAGGGAGGGAGGAGCACAGGGGAATGTGATGGTGCACGGGTGCATTGGTGAAGGAAACTCTATGGGGACTACACCTGAGGGGGTGGGGGGAAGCAAATATTTTTTTTAAAAATGAACAATGATGGGCCTCCCCTGGTGGTGCAGGTGGTTGAGCACAGCGCTGTGAAGCTGTCTGCAGCCTCTGCAGCGCCAGTTCAATCACGGCCGGCCAGGGAGCTAACCCACATGGTGTGGTAGACCTCTCCTGTCTTGCCTGCTGCTCCCCTCAGCGGTGTGTTTCATCAATTTGCCTGTTCTGTTCCCCGCTCTGTCTCTGGTGAGCCCTCTCACCCTCCCACGCATCTGGCCTGTACCCGGGTCCTTGCATAAATAAATAAATAAATCTAAAAAGAAGAGTAAAAGGAAAATTATAAAAAAAAGAAAAGAACAATGATGTAAAAAAAATTAAAAATATATTTAAAAAAAGACTCCGAAGTTAGGGCCTCCCTGGTGGTACAAGGGGTTAAGTCACAGCACTATGAATTTATCTGCAGGCAGCCACTGCAGTACTGCAGGAGTTCTATCCCCCACCGGCCAGGGAGCTACCCACATGGCTCAGCAGATCTCTCTTGTCTCACCCGCTGCTCCCCTTAGCAATGTATTTTAGTCAATTCACCTGTTCTGTCCCCCACTCTGTCTCTGATGAATCCTCTCACCTCCTACACCTCTGGCCCTTACCCCAGTTCTTGTACACATAAAATAAATAAATAAATATTTATTTTTAAAAGATTTAGTTATTTATGCATATAAGAGCTGGGGTACAGGCCAGAGGTGCAGGGGGTGAGAGGATTCACCGGTGAGAGTGGTGAACAGAACAGGCAGACTGACTGAAATACACTGCTGAGGGGAGCAGTGAGACAGGAGAGGTCTGCTGCACCATGTGGGTTTCTCCCTGGCCAGCTGGGGATCAAACTTGTGCTTCAGAGGCTGTGAATTGCTTCATAGTTCAGTGCTTAACCCCTTGCACCACCAGGGAGGCCCAAATAAATAAATCTTTAAAAAAAAAGAACTCCAAAGTTAAACCTTACATTATGGTCAATTGTTTTTTGACATGGGTGCTAAGAAATTCAATGACTATTATTGATATTATAGTTTTTTTCAACAAATGGTGCTGAGATAACTAGACATTAACATACAAAGGAAATAAGTTGGGGGCCTCCCTGGTGGCATAGGGGTTAAAGACAGCACTGTCAAGCTACTGCAAGCTACTGCTGCACGAGTTTGATTCACAACCGGCCAGGGAGCTACCCACATGGCGTAGTGGACCTCTCCTGCCTCCCCAGCTGCTCCCCTCAGCAGTGTATTTCAGTGCATCTGCCTGTTCTGGTGAATCCTCTCACCTCCCACACCTCTGGCTTATACCCCAGTTTTTATATGCACAAATAATTTTTTTAAAAGAAATAAGTTGGACCTCTTTCTCACACAAAAATTAGCTCAAAATGGACCATAAACCTAAAATAAAACTGTAAAACTCTTAGAATACATAGAAGTAAACTTACATCTTAGGTTAGGCAATGTTTTTTAAATTAGGCATCAAAAATAAAAGGAACTGTAGGGGAGGGAAAATTTTCTTTCTAGGTTCTTTGGCTTGTCTAATTAACCTGACATTAAACAGAGGAACAGAGACATGAAGATATTAGAATCAAGGACAAGTTGTACAAAAGCAGCCTCATGTTCTGTCCCGAGTAAAGGAATTGGATAGGGGCATGGGGCTTCAGAGGAGAGGAGGGTAATTCATAGAAACATAACAAGAGATGTTTGGTAATTAGATGCATGTATTGACATGCAGATAAGAAGTTATCTCTGGTAACATAGCTCTTTCTAGGCCAGGTTCCTATATAGATTATTTTAAGTAATCAAGACAGAGGTACAATTTTTTTCTTGAATTTGCTGAATTGTTATTGCCTTCCCTTCAAAATAATCTGCATGTCAAAGACGGCACATTTTGGGATAGTCTATTCTGCTTCCCTTCATAACAACAAAAACCCCCACATAAATTGGGTTTCAGAGAGGAGACTGAGGAAGGAAGGAAGCAGGATGGAGCCAGGAGACCTGGAGGAGGCGCATGGATCCTAGAGACATGTGAAGAAACTGCGTTTGCTTTTTGGTCGTGGACGGGGTGACACAGATGTGGGCAACAGAGGAAGAAGGAGGAGAAGGAAAATGAAAAGAAGAAACTGCATTGAAAAACATAAGTTACGGGCCTCTTTGGTGGTGCAAGGGGTTAAGCACCGCACTATGAAGCAATCTGCAGCCTCTGCAGCACGAGTTCGATCCCGGGCTGGCCAGGGAGCTACCCACATGGCGCAGCAGACCTCTCCTGCCTCGCCCACTGCTCCCCTCAGCAGTGTGTTTCAGTTAGTCTGCCTGTTCTGTTCCCCACTCTGTCTCTGGTGAATCCTCTGGCCTGTACCCCAGCTCTTGTATGCATAAATAAATAAATCTTAAAAGAAAAAAAATAAATAAATTGCGTTTCATTAACATTTGAAAATTTTGTGCTTTGGGCCTCCCCTGGTGGCTCAGGTGGTTGAGCGCTGCACTGCGGGGCTGTCCGCAGCCTCTGCAGCGCGGGTTCTATCCCGGCCGGCGGGCGAGGATCCCACATGGCGCGGCAGACCTCTCCTGCCCCACCCGCTGCTCCCCTCAGCAGTGTATTTCATCAGTCTGCCTTTTCTGTTCCCTGCTCTGTCTCTGGTGAATCCTTGCACCCTCCCATGCATCTGGCCTGTACCCCAGCTCTTGTACAAATAAATGGATAAATCTTTAAATAAATAAATAAAATAAACATTTTGTGCTTCAAAAGAAAACCAATGGAATAGGAGAAATATTTGCAAATCATATATATGATAATGAACTTGTATTCAGAATATAAAGAATTCATACAATCAAAAATAAAAATATAGGGGCCTCCCTGGTGGCCAAGGGGTTAAGCATCAGCACTATGAAGCAATCCACAGCTACTACAGCCTGAGTTCGATCCCCAGCCAGGGAGGTGACCCGGTGCAGCAGACCTCTCCTGTCTCACCTGCTGCTCCCCTCAGCAGCATATTTCAGTTAATCCACCTGTTCTACACCCCACTCTGTCTTTGGTGCCCCCCCCCGGGCACCTCTGGCCTCTACCCCAGCTCTTGTATACATGAATAAATAAATCTTTTTTTAAAAAATTTTATTTATTTATTTATTTATTTATTTATTTGTTTATTTATTTGTTTATTTATTTATACAAGCACTGGGTATAGTCAGAAGTGTGGGAGGGTGAGAGAATTCACCAGAGCCAGAGGGGAGAGCAGAGCAGGCAGACTGACGAAGTACACTGCTGAGGGGAGCAGCGGGCGGCAGGAGAGGTCTGCGCGCCATGCGGGACCCTCACTGGTGGCCAGGTATCGAACCGGCACTGCAGAAGCTGCAGGCAGCTTCGCAGCCCAGCGCTCAACCACTACACCACTGGGGAGGCCCCCATGAATAAATCAATCTTAAAAAAATATATAAATAACACAATTTTTAAAAAATCCGAACATACATTTCTCCAAAGATATACAAGTGGCCAATTAGCACATGAAAAGATGCTTAACATCTGTACTAGTTTTTTAATACTGATGTAACAAATTACCACAAATTTACTGGTTTAAAATAGAACAAACTGTGCTTGCTTTGGCAGCACATATACTAAAATTGGAATAATACAGAGAAAATCAGCATGGATCCTGTTCAAGGATAGCATGCAAGTTCCTGAAGCATTCCATATTTTTAGGAAAAACAAAATAAACCAAATTTATTATCTTATACCCTATATGGCAGACATTATATTGGCCTAAAATCAAGGTGTCAGCAGGGTTGCATTCCTTTTGGAGTCTCTGGGGAGAATCTGTTTCCTTGCATTTTCCAGCTTCTAGAGGTTGCCCACATTCCTTGACTTGTGGTCCCTTCCTCCACCTTGAAGCGCAGCATCATCAAATCTCTTTCTCACCCATACTTTCATCAGATTATTTCTTTCTCTAACTCTCCTGAGCCCCCATTTACTATTTTTTATTAAAGATTTATTTATTTATGCATACAAGAGCTGGGGTACAGGCCAGAGATGAGGGGGATGAGAGCATTCACCAGAGACAGAATGGGGAACAGAAGAGGCAGATTGACTGAAGTACACTGCTGAGGGGAGCAGCGGGTGAGTCAGGAGAGGTCTGCTGTGCCATGTGGGTTGCTCCCTGGCTGGCCATGGATCAAACTCGTGCTGCAGAGGCTGTGGATTGCTTCATAGTGCTGTGCTTAACCCCTTGCGCCACCAGGGAGGCCCTTAACCCTCATCCATTTTTTTTTTTTTTGTGGGACCCTCGCCGGTGGCCCGGGAACAAACCTGCGCTGCAGAGGCTGCCGGCAGCCTCGCAGCCCAGCACTCAACGGCTGAGCCACCAGGGAAGGCCCTCCCTCATTCACTTTTTTTTTTTTTAAAGATTTATTTATTTATTTATTTATACAAGCACTGGGTACAGTCAGAAGCACGGGAGGGTGAGAGAATTCACCAGAGCCAGGAACAGAGCAGGCAGACTGACGAAACACACCTCTGAGGGGAGCAGTGGGCGAGGCAAGAGAGGTCTGTGTGCCATGTGGGACCCTTGCTGGGTGGCTGGGGATCGAACCGGCGCTGCAGAGGCTGTGGGCAGCTTCACAGCTCAGCGCTCAACCGCTGCGCCACCAGGGAAGGCCCTCCCTCATTCACTTTTAAGGACCCCTTTGATTACATTGTACTCCCCATAATCTGGGATAATCTCCTCGTCCCAAAGTCCGTAATTTGCTTACACTCATGAAATGTCTATTGCCATATAAGTTTAACATCACAGGTTCTGAGGATTAGGAGGTTGATATCTTTGGAAGTCCATCATTGTGCCAAATCAAAATCAGTTATCTTTTAGGGAAATGCAAATCAAAATCACAATGAGATACAACTCCATAAGCAATGGGATGTTTATAATAAAAAAAGATGGACAATAACAAGTGTTGGAGAGGATGTGGAGAAAATGGAAGCCTCATGCATTGCTGGTGAGATTGTAAAATGGGGCAATGGTTTTGGAACCCAAGTTGATAATTCCTCAAAAGACTAAATTTCAAATTTCCTCATGACCCAACAATTGCATTCCTATGTAGACACCCAAGAGAAATTAACACACACCTTCACTCAAAAATATGTACATGCATTTTTGTATAGGAGCATTATTCATAATAGCTCAAAAGAGAAAAACCCTAAAATCCACCTACTGATGAATGGATAAATAAATGTATATTTATATAATAGAATATTAATTATAAATAAAAAGAAATGAGGTACTGGCACATACTACCACATAGGACCTTGAAAACATTACTAGTGAAGGAAGTCTGTCACAAAAAGATTATATGTTATTCAATTTTAGAAAATGTACATATTTTGTACATATTATTATGTACATATTATTATTATGTACATATTTTGTACATCTGTGCAGACAAATTATGTTAGTGGTTCCATAAGACTGGCAGGGAGGAGTTGGAGAATGAAGCCTGACTACCAAAGGTTATCAGGTTTATTTTGGGAGGTTAAAAATATTCTAAATTGGGGCCTCCCTGGTGGCGCAAGGGGTTAAGACTCAGCACTATGAAGCAATCTGCAGCCACTGTAGCACCAGTTCGATACCCCCAGGGGAGGTGACCCACACTGCGCAGCAGACCTCTCCTGACTCCACTGGTCCGCTGCTCCCCTCGGCAGTGTTTCAGTCGATCAGTGCCTGTTCTGTTTCCTGCTCTGTGTCTGGTGAATCCTCTCATTCCCCACACCTCTGGCCCGTACCCCAGTTCCTGTATGCATAAATAAATAAATCTTAAAAAAATATCCTAAATTTACATTGGAGTGATGATTGCACAACCATATGAGTATACTAAAAACATTGTAGCATACTCTTTAACTGGGTGAATTGTATAAAACTTCTATTAGACACAATATCTCAATGTATTTGTTAGTAAGTTACTAAAATGTTGCAATAAAGTAACTACCCATGATTTCCTTTTCAAACAAGTCACAGATGCCACAAATTTTAAAAGTTAGAAAGTAATCATATGGTAATAAAGACTAAGCTGTTCTCACATGTTTAATTCTGATTTTAAATTCATCAATATTGAAATGTAAATATGTTACTTTTATATTCAAGTGGCTAAGCTTTTTATCAGAGATGAAAAGACCCTAAAGGGTACAGAAGATGGCAACAAGAGTCACTTTTGAAATCAGGCTAGCTAGCTGGCACCAGAGTTTGGGTTTTACGCAATTCTCTATACTAACTCAAGACATGTAGTGGATTCTCATCCTGATCCTCTGCACTGTTGTTCTCCAACTCCATGCATCGCCACCATCCTCACCCTCAATCTCTGGCCCCAAGGTTCAGAGGACTTCTTCAAGGAAGTCTTCAGTTCCATGCACTGTGCAAACTCCAAAAAATTATTTAGTACACCTTACTGTATTTGCCATATGAGGAACTCCGCGCGGGAAGTAAATGGGTCCTGTAGCAGGCGACCATCCATTCATTATAATCCTTACAGTCCAACAAGCTCATGTTATGGGATGGAAGAGGCTAAGAAAGTGTCAGTGACTCTCCATAGAAACTACATAGGCCCTGCCCACTAAATTAATAGCTCACTTCGTTGAACTCACGACCCTTTGCCTAGGTTGAACTCACACTATTTCCCCAGGCAGTACACCCTCAAGTAATAACACCAGTTCACCTCACAGGAATAACGGCCCTCAGGCCATCGTCTTAAGCAGTGTTCCAGGGTCCAGGTCTTTGACGAGTCCTCCATTCCTTGCCACCTCCCTCTAATAACACGGAGACCCGCCCCTCAAATAACACCCTCACGCCCACCCCAGAGGATGCTGCTCCAGGATTCGCTCCTGCTCATTCCAAGTCCCGCCCTCTAATTAGCCCATAAGCCTCAACCCACTCCTGACAGTTCGAGCCCCACCCACAATGGTGGGTAGGCCACACCCCTATATTAGCATTCCACGCCCGCCCATTAGCTAAGTGCCCGCCCCCAGAGCTTCCAGCCCTGAGGAATGCCACCCCAAGCCCCGCTGAGCTGGACCGCGTCCAGCCTCTCGCCCTTCTTCGCTAACCTTCCAACACTCACCTACTGCGACAACCCTCCTGGTATCACCACCTATAGGAGTAGTCCAGGGTACCCCAAGGCCCCGCCCCTGGAGCTCCCTCCGACCCCGCCCTCTCCACTCACACTGTTGGCTCAAGACCCGAGTAACTAAGAACCCCAGGCCCGCCACCTCAGAAACGAGCTCCGCCCGGACCGCATCCCCCGGGCGGCCCCGCCCCCGCACGCACCCTCCTTGGGGCGCAGGCGCAGTGTGGCACCAGCCCGGCGTACCAGCGCCGCCACGTCGTTCGCAGCTCGGGCCGCCAGGGGGCGCGCGTCCAGCCGCTCCAGCAGCTGCCGGGCGCTGCGGCCCGCCGGCAGGGAAAGGCCGCGGCCTGCGCTGGCGAAAAGGACAGGTCAGAGCCGAACCCGAGCCTCCGCAACCCCCCACGGCCCACACCTCCACCCCGGCGTCCGACGACCCAACCATGCCCTTCCACATCCCTGGAGAGCCCGAACACCCCCTCCACAGTTCCCGAGGTCACCTACTGTCCCGCCACCCCAGGCCGCGGTGGGTCTGCCACCCCACGATCCCCACCGTATCCCTGGACGTGGGTGTTTGAACGCAACATTCCCGCACACCTCCGAACGCCCCGTGAATACCTCTGGAGGTCTCCGACTCCCCCTCATGACCACGGATTCCAAAGTCTCCCCCCCAACATCGAAAGGGACCCCGATCTCCCTAGATGTCCCCACAGGACAGTCGGCCCCCTTGTGGCCCCCGCGCCCCCGATTCCCCCTCCAGACATCCTGGGGCAACCCGAGGGCCCACGTAGTCCCAGGTTGTCCCTCCACGACAGCCCCGAGTGCTCAGGGGTCCCCAGTGACCCCAGGCAGACCCCTGCTGCACAACTGCTCAGAGGCTCCTGCGAGCCTCCGGGTGTGGTGCGCAGCCCGCGCCGCAGGGGCTGGTGCAGGGCTGCGGCGGCGGCTGCGGGTGCAGGTAGGGGGCCTGGAGCCAGGCTCGGGTCTCTGGGTCGCTAGCTGGGTCGCTTGGCCCCTGCCCTCCGCCGCCGCCGCCGCGGCCGCCGCCTGGGCGCCTGGGCTGCTTTGTTTACCACCTGTCGGAAGGAGAAGGCGCGGAGCAGACAGGCGGGGCCCGGGGTGGCAGCGGACGCGCCCTCTCCTGCCTCCCCTCTGTACCTCCTCTGCGCCCGCTGGGGTCGGCGGCGACCCCCGCGCGCCGCTCCATGAGCCGCAGTCGCCGGTGGACGCACGAGCCGCCAGCAACGCCTGTGCAGGTCCCGGGCGCACTCACCTGGCGGCCCGCCCGGGGCTGGACGCCGCGGAGGCTGGCCGGCCAGTGCTCGGCGCCCGACCCGCGCGCCGTGACCTACCTGGCGGCCGGAGGAGGCCTGGCCTCGCCGGGCCTCAGGCGCTGCCCCTGTTTTCCCGGATGCAGGACTGGGCACCCCCTTCCACCCAACGCATGCTGATGTCCTTATTCCACGTGTAAGAAGGGCAGGTCGAGGCCCAAGGGGTGTTAAGGCCCTGGCCCCGGCTCTGAAAACTAAAAATGGGGGTGCACGGAGCAGCCCAAGTTTACCAGGGAACCGCGCCGCTTCCAGCAGAGCTTTGACATAGTGGGCACAGGACGTTGGCAGCCAATGTTTGTCTAAGCCGGTCCCTCCTGGCAAACTGGAGGGGGATGGTGGTGCTGGGGAGGGACAGCCCTTGGAAACTTTGAGGCCACGGGAGGGTTTGGGGCCCTGAGCATTAGAGGGATGGGGGCTCACGAAGCAGGGAAGGCAGGTCCCCTGGAGAGCGGAGGGGCTGTAGGGGTTAGAACTTGAGGAGTCTTTGAAGGCTTTTGAAAGGGTGAGTGGGAGTGCCAGCCAAGGAGGGGGGAGAAATGAGACCCCCCTCCTAGGTCTGAAAATGACGGGACTGTCTGGGGCCATAGGCCCCAAGGGTGGGGGGTGTTTGGGGACGGTGCTGCTATAGTAGAAGGAGAAATGTGGAGCAGTTTGAGGTGGCCTGTGACCACCACCCTGTGAAAGAAGAAACAAGGCCTGAGGGGCTCAGGCACCTGCCCAGGGCCCAGAAGCCAGCCGAGAACAGTGAGGGGCTCAGGTAGCACCCACCACCCACCACTCTCTTGGTCCTTGCGCGGTGACTGTTTCACTAGGGGCTCTGGGGCACCGAGTGGAGATGAATATAGAAATATGTTAATTTGGACGATGGTGGAGAAGAGGTTTGCCTAAATCCCTCAACAAAGAAGACTTTAAAAGGGGTAATGGGGGCCTCCCCGGTGGCGCAGCGGTTGAGCGCTGGGTTGCGAAGCTGCCCGCAGCCTCTGCAGCGCCGGTTCGATCCCCGGCTGCTCCCCGGCCACCGGAGGAGGGTCCCACATGGCGCACAGACCTCTCCTGCCGCCCGCTGCTCCCCTCAGCAGTGTGCTTCGGTCCTTCTGTGCCTGCTCTGCTCCCCGCTCTGGCTCTGGTGAATTCTCTCACCCTCCCGCACTTCTGACTGTACCCAGTGCTTGTGTAAAATAAATAAATAAATAAATAAATAATAAAAAAATAAACACAGAACTTATAAAAATAAAATAAAACAAAAGGGGTAATGGTTTTAAAATCTAGAGCACAGGGTTAAGCAGACCCTCATTTAGATACTTCCATGAGGCATGGCTACTAGGGAGTTCTGCTCAGATCTAGGAATGGAACAGTGCTGAAACAGGGATTCCCTTAATCCATTAATGCAGTGAAAATAATGGAATAAATGGCCTGAAGTCATACTTGGGGCATTACTAAAAGGCTTTCGGTGTCAATTCTTGTGGGGAATGTCTAAAATTATATTGGCCACCACATTATAGTAATCGACATTAATTATGATGGAGTGAGATTAAGAGGGGATTGGTTTAAATTTGTGACTTGGGTGTAATTACGAAGGTAATGGTAATAGTGAAAGATTGGTTGCGTTCGTATCAGATGAGGACCAAGGAAAGGATTTTTCTATTCAACAATGTACTAGAGGTTTAGGCCAGTCACTAAGACAAGAAGAAACAAATGACATACAGATTGGAAAGAAAGTAGTAAAACTATATTTCAGACAAGATTGTTTATGTAGAAAATTAGATGGAACCTCCCAAAATCTACTAGAATATACTTACTAGTTTAGCAAAGTTGTAGGACACAAGATCAATAAGTAAAAATTTCATATCTATGTAGGCAATAATCCATTACAAATTGAAATAAGAATTAACTGTTTACAGTGCCATCAAAAAAAAAAAAAAAAAGGAATGTTGGGGATAAGATTGTTAGGGGGAAAGGATGTCCTAAAGCTAATCCCATGCAGGCTTTGTGGACTCCACCCCCACCCCAGACCAAAGCCATCAGGACATTGGGAGAGACAAATCCCATCACCACCAAAGGGAAGGTGGCTGGGACCTGAGGGTGGGGTGAAGCAGCCAGGTTTGGTATAAAACCAGACACGTGGGCTTTGAGGGGGTTCCTTTTTGGCTCTCCGCCAGCTCGCAGCGTCTGGCCAGCTCGGAGAGTGCTTTTTGGGTTTCCAGGTGGGCGGATAGGGTAGGACGCATTAAAGACTTTATTTCCCTATTTTCTCCCTGAGTTGTACATTTCCTCATTTCCCTTTCCCTTGTAAATAAACCTTTTATTAACCTTTTGTGTGTGCCTGTAGTGGGGTATTAATATGTCTCTTCTAAGCGCGCGGGTGAGGACCCACAGCCAGGCAACCCGTTTTATATCGGGGTTGCTCGGTAACAGTTTGGCACCCAACGTTGTTTCCAAGCTTCACCCGCGGTTGACCAGTCCAAAGTAACTTTCCTTGCGTTGGTCTCCATAAAGCGCACTAGGTCTGCAGGACTCGCAGTGAAAATCTTTGTTTCACGTCTTGAAAAGTCTGCTTTTTTTTTTCCCCGTGCGTGCGGCTCTTGTGGGTGTGTTTTTGACCCAAACGTGGCCTCAACCATGAGCTTAAGCGGTTTTATCCCTAACTTGAGTTCTTTCCGTTTTTTTCCGGCCTTACACACAGCCAAGCAACCCGTTTTATATCGGGGCTGCTCCGTAACACGATGACAAAAATGCATAAGACCTGAAAACTTAGAAATGCAAAATATTGCTGAAATGAAAGAAGACCTTAAATGTTATATATATTATATCCCGGTTATGAGACTCAATATTATTATTTTCCTTTCTTTCTTTCTTTCTTTCTTTCTTTCTTTCTTTCTTTCTTTCTTTCTTTCTTTCTTTCTTTCTTTCTTCTTTCTTTCTTTCTTTCTTTCTTTCTTTCTTTCTTTCTTTCTTTCTTTCTTTCTTCCTTTCTTCCTTTCTTCCTTTCTTTCTGTATATTTTACATCATTGTTCATTTTTTTACAATGTTTGCTTTCTTTTCTCATGTGTAGTCCCCATAGAATTTCCATCACCAAGTCACCCGTGCACCATCACCACAGTCCCTTGTGCTCTTCCCTCCCTCGTTTTGGTCCCTCTCCCTCCCCTTCCCCTGCAGAATGTCTCTGATTTATAGATGTCTGTTTATTTTTGTTTCCTTTTGTTGTTTTATTTTTATTATTTTTCCCCTAATGCCTTATTTGGTTCCCTATAATCCTATCAGTGAAACCATCTGATATTTTTCTTTTCCTTCTGACTTATTTCACTGAGCGTAATCCCTTCTAGCTTCATCCATGTTGCTGCAAATGGCATTAGTTTATCTGTTTTGATTGCTGAATAGTATTCCATTGAGTATATGAACCACATCTTCTTGATCCGGTCATCTATTTTTGAGCATTTGGATTGTTTCCAAGTCTTACCTTTATAAATAGTGCTGCAATAAACATAAGGATGCAGGTATTCTTTTGAATTAGTGTTTTCGTGTCATTTGGGTATATCCCTAGTAGAGGGGTTGCTGGGTCATGTGGTAGCTCCATTTTCAGTGGCCTCCATCTCATGAAGCTCTCCATACTGGTTAGACCAGTTTGCACTCCCACCAGCAGTGCAGGAGAGTTCCTTTTTCTCCACATCCTCACCAACAATTGTTGTTGCTAGA